TCTCCCTCCTTCAGTATCTTCCTCTACTGAGGGTGGGCCACATGGTCTCTCCATATCTCCCTCCTTCAGTGCCTTCCTCTACTGAGGGTGGGGCCACGTGGTCTCTCCATATCTCCCTCCTTCAGTGCCTTCCTCTACTGAGGGTGAGCCTCATGGTCTCTCCATTTCTCCCTCCTTCAGTATCTTCCTCTATTGAGGGTGGGCCACATGATCTCTCCATATCTCCCTCCTTCAGTATCTTCCTCTACTGAGGGTGGGCCACATGGTCTCTCCATATCTCCCTCCTTCAGTGCCTTCCTCTACTGAGGGTGGGCCACATGGTCTCTCCATATCTCCTCCTTCAGTGTCTTCCTCTACTGAAGGTGGGCCACGTGGACTCTCTATATCTCCCTCCTTCAATGCCTTCTTCTACTGAGGGTGGGACACATGTTCTCTCCATATCTCCCTCCTCCAGTGTCTTCCTCTACTGAGAGTGGGTAACATGGTCTTTACATATCTCCCTCTTTCCGTGTCTTCATCTACTGAGGGTGGGCCACATGGTCTCTCCATATCTCCCTCCTTCAGTGTCTTCCTCTACTGAGGGTGGGCCACGTGGTCTCTCCATATCTCCCTCCTTCAATGCCTTCTTCTACTGAGGGTGGGCCACATGGTCTCTCCATATCTCCCTCCTTCAATGCCTTCCTCTACTGAGGGTAGGCCGCATGGTCTCTCCATATCTCCCTCCTTCAGTGCCTTCCTCTACTGAGGGTAGGCCGCATGGTCTCTCCATATCTCCCTCCTTCAGTGCCTTCCTCTACTGAGGGTAGGCCACATGGTCTCTCCATATCTCCCTCCTTCAGTGCCTTCCTCTACTGAGGGTAGGCCACATGGTCTCTCCATATCTCCCTCCTTCAGTGCCTTCCTCTACTGAGGGTGGGCCACATGGTCTTTTCATATCTCCCTCCTTCAGTGCCTTCCTCTAGTGAGGGTAGGCCACATGGTCTCTCCATATCTCCCTCCTTCAGTGCCTTCCTCTACTGAGGGTGGGTCACATGGTCTCTCCATATCTCCCTCCTTCAGTGCCTTCCTCTACTGAGGGTGGGCCACATGGTCTTTTCATATCTCCCTCCTTCAGTGCCTTCCTCTAGTGAGGGTAGGCCACGTGGTCTCTCCATAACTCCCTCCTTCAGTGCCTTCCTCTACTGAGGGTGGGCCACGTGGTCTCTCCATATATCCCTCCTTCAGTGCCTTCCTCTACTGAGGGTGGGCCACATGGTCTCTCCATATCTCCCTCCTTCAGTGCCTTCCTCTACTCAGGGTGGGCGACATGGTCTCTCCATATCTTCCTCCTTCAATGTCTTCCTCTACTGAGGGTGGGCCACATGGTCTTTCCATATCTCCCTCCTTCAGTGCCTTCCTCTACTCAGGGTGGGCGACATGGTCTCTCCATATCTTCCTCCTTCAATGTCTTCCTCTACTGAGGGTGGGCCACATGGTCTTTCCATATCTCCCTCCTTCAGTGCCTTCCTCTACTCAGGGTGGGCGACATGGTCTCTCCATATCTCCCTCCTTCAATGTCTTCCTCTACTGAGGGTGGGCCACATGGTCTCTCCATATCTCCCTCCTTCAGTGCCTTCCTCTACTCAGGGTGGGCGACATGGTCTCTCCATATCTTCCTCCTTCAATGTCTTCCTCTACTGAGGGTGGGCCACATGGTCTTTCCATATCTCCCTCCTTCAGTGCCTTCCTCTACTCAGGGTGGGCGACATGGTCTCTCCATATCTTCCTCCTTCAATGTCTTCCTCTACTGAGGGTGGGCCACATGGTCTTTCCATATCTCCCTCCTTCAGTGCCTTCCTCTACTCAGGGTGGGCGACATGGTCTCTCCATATCTTCCTCCTTGAATGCCTCCTCTACAGAGGGTGAGCCACATTGTCTCTCCATATCTCCCTCCTTCAGTGCCCTTTTTCACCCATTCCTGTTTAATCAAGAAAAGCTAACCACGTACGTGTTTCGAGATGTTGGCCCTCATCAATGTGGTGCAAGCTGTACCTCAACGACCAAAAAATGGTCTTTTAAGCATCATGAAAGTTTAGTTGATATTTATTCTGATAGATGGCCATAAGCAACATTTATTTGCACGATTAGGAGATGCCTTTTTCTTAATATATCCACCTGACTCCATTACACTATCACTTTTTTACTATTTAGAAAAAATCAAGGTTCAGTAGTTTCATAGAACTTAAACTTATCTATGGTAATTCAGTGATATATCTAGAAGATGACCCATTAGGTTTTACTTCCACTTTACTACTATAAGAAAATCTTGAATTAGATTAGTGTGAGGCGAGATGGAAATGGTGCCAGGATCAATGAGAATGTATTTCTTTGTCTTTAGTCTAATTTTTTTTTACTATCTCTTAATACTCGTTTTACAGGCCATGATAATCATTATGGGTAGTTAGCGAATCCTATTACTGTAAGTGCACCACATATCTACACATTTAGCATTTAATCAACAACAACAACAAAAAGCCTTTATTTAGGGTCACTGACGCTATACAGGATTCACCAGAGGTATGCATAAGAACAAATCAGTGAGACAAAGGAAACGATTTAGCAATTAATCATACTTTTGCATTAACGAGTGGTGTATAGTATGAGCGAATACTTTTACTGTAAGTATACTACATGTCTACTTATTTGGAAAGCAGTTCGACTTTTGTACTATAAGTATGTCAAAAAGTCCCTTTTGTTTATTTGCACTCACTGGTGGGGTTGGACTTTTGTAAGAATTGGAAGCCATGGATTAAATTGTTTCTTCAGAAAAGTGTTCAATGAGGGATTAGATCACGGGTGATTGCTGTCGAAAATCGGTGGTTTATACTATTTATTGTAAAAAGTTGAAACTGTGAGGCGAAGACGTTTTGTAAAGTTTTTTTTTTATTATTTAGCAAAGCTTTTGAGTGTTTATGTCCACCTGTAAAAAAGTAGACCCTATCATACCATTTCTATTCTGAGACGTAGAGATGGGATTTGTCTGGATAGGTGGAATGGCTCGATGCAGAGTTGACTTTAAAATTCGAAACTATTATAGACGCGTATGATTCTTTTTAAAAATAAACAATTTCTACTGCCCTTACTGCAATGGAAAAATTAATGGGAGGGCCTAGCTCATCAGTGATGAACCCTCCCAGCGGTTTCGCCAGTTTAATCTACCATTGCAGTAAGGGCAGTAGAATCAGGCAAGGCAGTGGCAAATAAATATTCTATTCAATCCAATATATGCCTTTTTATTATCTAATGATTTAAGTATGGATGCTCTTTTTTGAAAACAATAGTAGAATATCAAAATTCGAAACTATTATAGATGCGTATGATTCTTTTTAAAATAAAACCATTTCAACTGTCCTTACTGCAATGGCAGTAGAAATTGTTTTATTTTCAATATAAACATACACGTCTATAATAGTTTCGAATTTTCATAACAGATGGCGCGCTAATGCATCATAATATAAGAGTTGACTTGGCTTGGACGATGGTGCAAATAGGTTTTGAACAGAACTGATACAATCGTCATAGGTAATGACTTGGCCTGCTTAGCGACTTGATATCTTTGGTCCGTCTCAGGAAAGCAAATAGAGCAATGCTGAGAGCGGCGAATACCGACAGCGATGCGAAAACTTCCTACAGATGACTAAAAAGGACTCTCTCATTATAATGTTTACTATTGAAATAGGATAATTTTCTCATCTATTCTGAATTTAAGATGTATACCAAATCGTGGATCACCTCCTCTTCACCTGTTCAACATTCCAATACCAAAGATTCCTGACAGCAATCCTTTTAGGGATCACCAACCTAAGTACAGCATGCCTAGAAAATCTCCATAAAAATACATTTTCTTAGTTACACCTCATGAATTGGACTTCCACTTGTATTTTAAATAAATCAAAGAAGGCTTAGGTAAAAACTGGGTAGTTGGTGACTTATGAACCTACGATACCTAAATGATGCATTAGCGCGCCATCTGTTATCAATATTCGAAACTACAAGTTGTATAACTTGTATTATAGAAGCGTATGATTCTTTTTTAAAAATAAACAATTCATATTACCCTTACTGCAATGGAAAAATTAATGGGAGGGCCTGGCTCATCAGTGGTTAACCCTCCCATTAATTTTTCCATTGCAGTAAGGACAGTAGAAATCGTTTATTTTTGAAAAGAATCATACGCGTCTATAATAGTTTCGAATTATAAATAAATAATATTAGTCTGCATTTAAAAAAAGAATATATGGAAAAATGGTGTTTAAGAAAACTATAGACATAGGCTTCTAGAAGACAGTAGAAATAAAATTTGAATTAATGATCAAATACGGCAAGCAACGTTCCTCCACAAAAATCACAGAACAAACTTTTCAGAAATTCTCAGATATCATCCTAATCAACAATAACTTCATCTATTACAGAACATGGATACAAATTTTAACAGCTATTTTTATAGTATTTAAAAACATTCTATTTTTATAAGATATATATTCACTTTAGTGATTTTTTATTAATATAATTACAAATATAATATACTATTAATAATATACTATTGATTGTAGAGAGACATTGCTAGACCTATATGTATTGAGAGAAAAGTATAAAAAGAAAGATTCTCGAAAAAAAAAAAAAGAGGAGTTGAACCATGTTGCTATCTTTCCAACTTTGCCTATTCAATGGAACGTCCCATTTCCTTAATGGCTCAACCTGAAATGGAAACTTTTCTATGGGCCAAGACAGTCATCCTATAGAATTACCTTAGTAATCTGCTAGTTGCACTGTCGTACAGTACTTAGCCTTAAATAACATTCTATTTATAATTTTTTTATTGTTATTTTTGTGACATATCAACATATTTTCACATTAAAATATACAGTTATCAGCGTCATAATCAATTCTTTCTTAATCAATTCTGTCACCGTTTGCTTTTGTGAATGAAATAAATACCCAAATATGGCCATTTCTCATAACCATCGGTGGTTCAGTGGTAGAATGCTCGCCTGCCACGCGGGCGGACCGGATTCGATTCCCGGCCGATGCAATTTTTTTTTTTTACAATTTTTAAAACTCATTTATATATTATACAAGAATGACATCCACGGCGCCAATTTATAATTGTAACGAATAGTATTTGAATAAAAGCATTCAATCGGGTAAAACCCGGGCGTTGCCCGAGCCATTCGGCTGGTATAAAATATTAAAAGCAAATTTGACATATTCTGTCCGTTCACAATGAGCATTTTTTTGATGGCAGAGCGTGATCTAGTTGAATAAAAATAAACTAAACGTTGATTTAGGTTGTTCCGTGATATTAGGTCAACCCAATTTCTTGATAAATCAAGAAAAGTTAGCCTCGTACACGTTTCGGGGGTCTTGTCCCTCGTAAGCGTGGTGCAGCCCAATATTTTGGTCCTAGAGGCTTCCTTAGAGATAAATAGAAATGGGTTTTTAATTGTTTTTAATATCAACATTTGAGAGACCATTTTTCTATTTTTTAATTTTTTTTTCACAAATAAAATATTATCTATATAGATATTACTGCAATGATAAAAGTTATTGAATAGGAGAGCTTAGTTATAGAAGGCAGTTTAGAGGTATTTAGGGAACCTATGGACATTAGATTTAAGGTCTGTAGATGAGCATACATATTGTCGCGGAGATAAATAAAGAAAGGGCAAATTTGAGCATAATTAATTTATTATAAAGGTGGGTATTTACCTTTTAGTTCTCCAATAAAATTATATATAAGAGGTATTTATAGGGAGAGAGATAACAACTTATCCCAAGGTAAAGATAATAATAATGAGCGTCGTCAGCCACCAAGGCGTTCCGTTTTCCTTATTTGCCGATAAGATTCCGAGAACCCCTCACACCTGTGGTCCTTCCGGAGTCCAGTATTATTGTCAGGTGTCCCATGGAGATTCTTGTGACCGGAGTTGCAGAGCTACTTGACAATATAATTACAAGAATTTGCATCGAGCAATGCTCATCCCCTCCAAGACCTCTCATCCAGCCACTTTTATTTTGGCACACAGTAAGGTCTGTAGAGATAATATTTGATATTGGAAAAGAAACACATTGGCAAAAATAAATTATTACAAAATTTTAACGATTGATGGCAATTGGATTTTAAATTTCAATTTCTACTTAGATAATTTACATATTGTTTCTATATAGTGTATATTCCAACCCTTCTTCTACGTGGCGGGCGGGAGAAGCAGCACAAGTAAGGGACTGCCCTGTAGTACGGTGTCGTGAGCCCCGAGCCTCTAAGGCAGGCCTGGCCAACCTGCGGCCGCCGTAAAAAAATTTGCGGCTCGCCATTTAACTTTATATTTCTTTTGTAACTTTCATTTCTTGTCTGTATATTAAAAAACAGAAAATATATTGAAATATTTATAATAATTCTTTAATTTAAAATATGTCCCACAATTTTTAAAATACATATTTGATTCCATAAAAAGAAAGAAAAAAGTTAGGAATAATGGTAATTAATAGAGAAATATTTTTTTATTTTAAATTATTTTTATGAAGTATGTAGTCGTACTCTTCATTTTGACTATTTTAAACATGTTTATAATTAAAAAATATATAATATTTTAAAAGTGTTAAAAAAACTATAATTTTATTAAATAATAAATATGCAAAATAATATACTTCATTTTTTAAATTTATTTTATTTTATTTTAAAACCAATAATAATTTGTATATTTTTGATAACTCTGTGACCTAAAAATATAGAAGTCATTAGATACGTAGTTAGTTCGTTGCTGGTAGATGTAAATATTAACAACCATTTTAATTTATCAATTTGTATTGTAAATAAAAAATAATTAATTTGATTTAAAAAGGCTAAGGCTGTTTCTTTAAAGCATCTACCACAATTGGTGAGCCGGAATTAAAAAGAACAATTAAATCAAGACGAACAAACATTATTATTAAAAATTCAAGATGGCGACCGAAGAGGAGTTAACGAGCGGCGGCGGATCGGAACCCTACCATGAAGCCTGCAAGGTAAGCATTAAAATACCTCCATTTTGGACAGATAAACCTGAAATTTGGTTTTATCAAGTTGAAGCTCAATTTAACATAAATGCGATAACATCCGAAGAAACAAAGTTTAATTACTTAATTGCACAACTTGAGCCAAAATACATTGAAAATATTTGGGACATAATTACTCTCAATAGTAAATTTAAATACACTGAATCTAAAACACGCCTTTTAAATATATTTAAAGATAGTGAAAGTGTTTGAATTAAAAAACTTATCTCAGGAATAGAACTTGGAAATATGAAACCAAGTCAATTGTTACAAAAATTGAGATCTTTAGCCACTAGTGATATATCTTCTAATTTAATTAAGACCTTATGGCTAGAGAAATTACCTGACTCAATGAGAAACATATTGCTTGTAAGTGATGAAGATGTGACAAAATTAGCATCAATGGTTCTTCACAAACCTCTCATAATGTTATGGAGAACCTGTTAGAAAAAATATCTTCACTTGAAAAACAAGTAGCTGAAATTAATCTGCCAAGATCAAGGCCATCATTTAGAACTCAACGCCAACGATCTAGATCCAGTAGCCGAATCCGTAGAAAATACGATCCAAATGGCAGCTTTTGTTATTACCACTTTCGATTTGGAGCTCGTTGTATTCCTGAAAAATGCAAGCCTCCTTGCAAGTGGGTAATAAATAAGACGAATAAACAGGAAAACTCCATGCTGCCGTAGAAGACGCAGCACATTCTACAGCAGATAATTTAAATAGTTGCTGCAAATATCGTCTATTTATAAAAGATAAAAATTCTGGCCTACAATTTTTAATCGACAGTGGAGCTGATGTAAGCATTGTACCTCCTAATAAAAATGAAAAACGTAAAAACGACTACAAGCTCTATGCTGCGAATGGTTCAGAAATTGAAACCTATGGTGTCAAAATTTTAACCTTGGATCTAGGGTTACGCCGGGAATTTCAATGGCCATTTGTGGTAGCCAAGGTGAACAAAGGCATCTTAGGTGCTGATTTTCTAAACAAATTTAACTTACTTATCGATATAAATAAAAGAAAATTAATTGACGGTATTACCAATTTAGCAATAAATGGAGTTATAACATCTATTACAGAAAATAATAATATAGTGACACTTTGCAATAATGTAAATTTTTCAAAATTATTATCTAATTACCCTAATATAACCAAACCTGCATTATTTCCGACTAAACCAGAACATGATGTAAAACATTTCATAATAACTGAAGGACCTCCTGTACACTCAAAAGCAAGACAGCTTGATCCCAAGCGACTTGCGATTGCTAAGCAGGAATTTGAATTTATGTTGGAAAATGATATCATTCGACCATCAAAATCTCATTGGGCTAGTCCATTACATATGGTTGCCAAGAAAGATGGTTCTTTCCGATTATGTGGTGACTATAGACAACTTAATGCTAAAACTGTCACAGACAGATATCCTATACCACGCATTGAAGATTTTCATCATATTTTAAAAGACGCCAAGATATTTTCCAAAATTGATTTGCTGAAAGCTTATTTTCAGATACCAATCGAGGAAAAAGATAAATGCAAAACAGCTGTGATTACACCATTTGGACTTTATGAATATAATGTAATGAATTTTGGCCTTAAAAATGCACCATCATCTTTCCAACGATTCATACATGAAGTTTTATGGGGCTTAGATTTTGTCTTTCCCTATTTAGATGATATATTAATTGCATCGGCTAGTGAGGTAGAACATTCTAGACATCTCAAAATTATTTTTGAAAGACTAAATAAATATGGTCTCAAAATAAACGTTTCGAAATCTATATTTGGTGTAACTGAATTGAATTTTCTAGGATATCTTGTTACACCAGAAGGTTCAAAACCTTTGCCTGATAAAGTACAAGCGATTGTTGACTACAAGTTACCTGAAACTGTTCATGACCTTCGAACTTTTCTAGGCATGATCAATTTTTATAGAAGATATTTAAAAGATCCGGCACAAACTCAAGCAATTTTACATGAATACCTTAGAGGTGCAAGGAAAAAAGATAAGCGTAAAATCCATTGGACAAAGGAAGCTCAGATTCAATTTGAAAGGTGTAAACAAAGTTTAATAAATGCAACCTTATTATCCTTTCCCCATCCTGAACTACCCCTGTCACTAAGTGCAGACGCATCGGATTCAGCAATTGGAGGGGTAATTCAACAAAAAGAAAATGGAATGTGGAGACCAGTCGCATTTTTTTCTAAAAAATTAAATAATACACAAAAGAATTACAGCACCTATGATAGAGAACTTCTTTCAATTTATCTCTCAATTAAACATTTCAAATATTTGTTAGAAGGAAGAGAGTTTGTGATTTTCACAGATCATAAGCCATTAATATATGCTTTCGTGCAGAAATCTGAAAAAGCAACTCCAAGACAATTGCGACAATTGCAGTTTATATCACAATTTTCAACTGATATTCGACATATTAAAGGACAAGACAATATTGTTGCTGATGCTCTGTCAAGAATTGAAGAATTAACCTTGCTTGATTATGATGAAATTGCAGAAAGACAAAGAAATGATGAGGAGCTTAAAAACTTACAAAGTACATCAAAATCATTGAATTTCAAGCAATATCCTCTTTCATCTGGGAAATACTTGTGGTGTGACACATCTACAAATCATATTAGGCCTTATATTCCAGAATCTTTTAGATTTAGGATGTTTCAACAAATTCATGGCTTATCCCATCCAGGTATCAGATCTACTGTTAAGCAAATGTCATCAAAATTTATTTGGACAAGCATAAAAAAGGATGTTCAGCAATGGGCTCGATGTTGCATCCCATGTCAAAAAAATAAGGTTACACGACATACTAAGTCAAATATTGGAGAATTCCAAGACCCTATGGAAAGATTTACCGAGGTACATATTGATCTTGTAGGTCCTCTACCTCCATCTAATGGCAATACTTATTGTCTAACTTGTATAGACAGATTTTCAAATTGGATGGAGGTTGTTCCTTTGGAAAATATTTC